CAGCATGGAGACTGGAAAAAACAAGCGGTCAGCGTCGGTGCATGGTGATTCGCAGTCGCACGATTCCCAAATCGCGACTGCATATTTCAGAGACACGTGGCAGGCTCAAACACATTGAGGGTGTATGAGACTATCAGCCCCCAGCTGTCGATGTGTCACGGTCCCCCCGCCCAAAACTGCACGGGGTCAGAGTACGGCCGTGGGAAAGTCGTAATTCCTTGCTACACCGCCCATTTCGCAAACTCACGTATGCTAACACCGTCCGCGCGGCGCGTGCCGCGTGCAGCTCTCTTGGCTTTTTGCCGAGTCCTGTAATTGCGCTTTGGAATACAAGTGAAACGCAATTTCTTTATGCGGATAACATTTTAGGTACTGCAAAATAAGGACCGAAGATGATGACGAGGGCCAGAACTTAAGAGCAACTGTGCTGTTCCTGCAACATTCCTCAGAGGCCGCCCATTCCCACAGAACATGACACTAAAAACCGACAACATGACAATAAAACATGACAATACAAGCAAAACGCAATTTCCTAACATTCGAGGTATTGCTCATGCTTCCAAGTCCGAATAGAAGGTGATGAAGATGACAAAGGCTAGAATTGAAGAGCAACGAATGTAGATGTAGACAAAACAAAAATGAAAAACCAAGGAAACGCAAATTATTATACTTGAAAACGCGAGTGCCTTTTTGCGATCCGGCTCAAATCCGGCTCCAAAGCCATAGAAATACTTTAAACTAGCGAGTGGGACGCTTAGGCCCTTTTTATGTTCATGTTTCGTGGAAATGCGCGGGCCCCGAGGAATATTGCAGGAGCAGCACAGTTGCTCTTGAGTTCGAGGCCTCGTCATCATCTTCGGTCCTTATTTTGCAGCACCTAAAATGTTATTCGCATGAAGAAATTGCGTTTTACTTGTATTCCGAAGCGCAATTACAGGACTTGGCAAAAAGCCAAGAGAGCTGCACGCGACACGCGCCGCGTGGACAGTGTTAGCGTAAACGTGAGCTTGCGAAATGGGCGGTGTGGCAAGGAATTACTACTCCCACGGCCCCGTACTCTGACCCCGTGCAGTTTTGGGCGGGGGGACCACGACACATCGACAGCTGGGGGTAATCTCATAAACCCTCAATGTGTTTGAGCGTACCATGTGTTTTTAAGTAGGGAATTATGAAAGCAGGCAGAGAGATCTGCAAGCCACAACTTGCAGCCATCGTCCAATCCATTTACTGTCTGTTACGAATAATTGACGCGTCTTGTCCTCACTAAGACAGGAACAACGCTCGGAAAATAGTGAAACGGCTGAATGGCTAGCATCGTCAAGCATGAACGCAGCCCTGTATGTTCTTTTATAGGTAGGGCTAGCCCCTCACCATTGAACACATCGACAAGAGAAGGTGTGGATCGCTGTCGAGTTCACACTGTCTGCAGTATTTGCGTCAGTCTGAAGCTGTTGCGTATTGTCAAGGGCTGAATCACTCGTAGTTCCTGGGGACTGTAGCTATCTCCTGATTTATCTTTCTTGACTCGGCCATGAAAGTCACCGTCAAGCGTCAAGCGTTTTAGCATCCCATAGGCTGGATTCTGGGAACACTATGCTGAGATCAGCGTACGAAGTGAATATCCGCATTATTTATTCAGCCGTGCGATCTGAGTTCTAGGAGTGCGCTCCACGTGTGTCCATTTTTTCCCCTTACCTGTCCCACCTGTATATAGTAGCTCACCTGTACAAGATTGATCCAAAACTATCAGAAACAATTAATGACGGCTGATTATCGGACTGCAACTGAGAGCTGATGTGCACCACAGGATGAGCTGGTATCGCTGAAAGCAGTTTGTTAGCAACCAACATAGTGTACAACCTTTCTTCTCGAGCTCTTGGACTTGGAGCCAATCAAATCGAAGAGAAGAAACTGCCTGACAATGAGTCATCCAATAACTTCTGTGGGTGTTTTGGCCATTTTTGAAGAAAAATGCCTTTGAATCAGAACATCCTGGGGCCAGCAAACCAAAAACCCAGTGTCAGTGACGTCACTAATGTTTATATTATATTGCAAGAAATTTTCATTAGTCATCAGTAAACTGATGTCGCACTTCATGGTTTTGTAATTAATTTTGTTATTAGTTGAGAGCAAAAAAGAATTTTTGTAACCAAAGATAATAATTCTGTAATTTACAGTAATTAATAAATAATAATTTCGCATTGTACTGATATGATTTGCGAAAAACTAACCGAAATAAAAGATGGGCATCACAACATCGTGGCATCCACGGGGCTTGTGAGTGTAATTATACTCGGAGTTATCAGAGAATAAACAACTTATAAATGTGCTCTGATTACAATTACACTTACTAGGGAGGTCGTTCAGGACGTGGAGCGCCTTTCGAAAACGGTTTTTCGCATGATGTGGGTCACGTGCATGGAGTACCAAACTGGTGTTCATTTTTCCTGAACGCCTCTGGGAATGCCAAAAATGGAGTGAAAAAGAAGTCCATGGAAACGACTGTTTTTGAGGCCTGAATGGGCTCTAAATCACTCGCAACTTCGGCTAGTTGCTGCCTATAGGGTCCTTATAAAGGTACTGGTATCTCGTCAATGGGGTCCTACTTGTGGCACGTAGTCCCCAATCTGGAGCCAAGTCTTTCTCCCACTGGAGTCGCTATGTACATTCGTTTGAGGGACTTGCAGGGCCATTCTGACTCCAATTGGGTTTGATGTCAAGAATAAGTGTCAGAATCGTGATCAGGACCATCGACTACCCCTATAGGCAAACTTTCGGCCAAAAAAATTTTTTTGATTTTTTTTGAGTTGTGATAGGCCGACCATTTGGTCGTTGGTGATGACCGGAGACCCACAACCTTGGAGCTGCGATGACGTAGCGATGACGTGGTGGGCCGCCGGGCAGCCGCATCGCGGATTTGGTGCTCATAAGGTCCATTCGTACTTGGCATGGGCATGGGTGGCAGAACAAGTGAAAAACCATCCTGGACATTTGGCGACCCCCGCGACGGCTCGCTCAACGAGAGATGTCGTCCTCCCCTACCAAGAGGAGAGGAACTCATCCGATTTTCTTCACTTTTTTCAATGCACCTGGAGAAATGATGACTATTTTGTTCTTTTTTCGATGGCGTTTATGGTTGTTGCTAGTTTTTTGTCTTCGCGTACCACTGAATGAGGGTTTCGATATCAAGCAAAAGTACGGCTTCAACAAAGTGACTCTTGAGCATAACCCAATGCACAGACTCAAAAAAGAAGCAAAAATTTTTTGCCTGAAAGTTTGCCTAGAGGGTAATCGATGGTCCTGATCACGATTCTGACACTTTCTTGACGTCAATCCAATCTGGCGTCAGAATGGCCCTGCAACTCCCTCAAACGAATGTACATAGCGACTCCAGTGGGAGAAAGACTTGGCTCCAAATTGGAGATAAAGGCACTAGAGCTGAAAGTAAATGCCATAGTCATGATCAGGGCATCGAATAATGAAGCCTTCAGCTTTCAGACAAGTTCTTGCTTAATGGTATGTGAAATCGAAATTGCTGAATAGCGCCGGATGTGCCCATAAATGGCAGATATCCGAATAAAATTCATTAACAGACGTATACGGAAGCGACAACAACGGAAAATAAAAAATACAAAAACGTGCAAGCCGAGGGGAGTCGAACCATCATCCCCCCATCCCCACTGTCTGCTTGAGAATCCTCCACGCTATCCACTAGGCCATCCGATCGTTGGCACAAGCACCACTTCGATTGCTTAAGAGCCCATTCGAATTGGCCGTCGACTCTCAGCTACGTGCCACAAGTAAGACCCCATTGACGACCACTTTTCTCATAGATACCAGTACAACCTTTATAAGGAGCCTATAGGCAGCAACTGGCCGAACTTGCGAGTGATTTAAAGCCCATTCAGGCCCAATAACAGTCGGTTTCCATGGACTTTTTTTCCGCTCCATTTTTGGCATTCCCAGAGGCGTTCAGGAAAAATGAACACCAGTTTGGTACTCCATGCACGTAACCCCACATCATGCAAAAAACCGTTTTCAAAAAGCGCTCCACGTCCTGAACGACCTCCCTAGTTAGCTCGCAATGTCTTCTGCTCAAGCCATAATCTTCCCAAGAGCCTTCGCGAAGTGAAACCTCTCTACCTTTCCACTCTTTGAACGCCCTATCGCGAGACGAGTGAGTTAGTCCACTGTAGAGCTTGCAACTCATGCCAGTAACGAAAAACCGTCCAAATGATCTTAAATTGTGGCTCTGACTGGAAATAGCCTCATGTCAGTGCATTGGGTTCAAGCGTGCGAAATGAGATTTCGTTCAAGCCTGAATTTAGGATTGTATAGTTGATTTTTGATAAATTGAAAGATCCGCTGCAGTATATGGCGCAGTGCAAACACCGCTGGGCTGGTCACCTACTCCGCCGGAACGATGACAGATGGAGTCTCCGCCTCACAGAATGGCTCTCAAGGAACGCAAAACGGCCTCAGGGACGGCCACCAACGCCTTGGTCCGACTCGTTTCTGAAATATTTCAGAGAACGCGGTCTACCACATTGGATGCAAGTAGCCAGAAATCGTGGGTTGTGGAAGAGCTGTGGTCCCCACTGAAGATAAAGCCAGCTGAAGGACCATCAAAGTATCAAAGTAAGTAAGTTGGTTGTTATTAGTGAGGCCGTGAAAAGCTTGTTCTAAACACTCATAGCATGATATTTGATAAGCAATGTATCCTAATTATTTCTCAAAACGGTCCCAGCACTACCTTGAGGGAATTGCAAGTTTACGACTCGAAGCAGTTGTTAGTCTAATGGCTGGAGCAGTTTGCCTCTGATGCTTCCGCACTACACCATCGAGCATTTTTAATTGAGCTGCTTGCTTCCATAGTCAAATTTCAAGTCCTTTCCGAGAGCTTCGGTTAATGTGGGATAGGCACTCCTTTTCCGGGATGCCACTCAAAGTGTCACTCTCGAATGTTTCGGAACATGTCAAGGGGCTATCTTTGGAAACGTTTACCAGCAAAATTCCATGGATCGCTCACCGTAGTTGAGAGTCAGCGATGGACTGTCCTTCGAAGGATCTGACGTGAAGCCAAGATACACTGCCAGTTGTGTTTTCTCGACTATTCTAATACTACAGTAACCTCTTGTTGAGTTTTCCGTGGCCTGCACTTGCAGAGTGTAGCTGGAAACATTGCTTAAGCTAATTTCATTCGGAACTAGAAAACACGACACTTACCCTCCCGTGTTTTGAACTGCAGGCACTACTTGGTATATCCCAAAAAATGGCATTTGTACGAGAGACGGCAGCTGGTACGGTTCCGCGGCCCCATCGTTATTTATTAAGTGAACATCGAATGCCTCCACTTCATCTGGCAACAGAGGACAAGTGGAAAGACAAATGGAAATTGTACTTCAGTTAATATAGCATGCGAAAGTGCCGTACCACTGTTGACGAATGCGTACACTTGCGTGGTTGGATCGTCAACGAAGAACGCCGCTTGACTGAGCGCCGAGCATTCCATGACAACCATCTCTTGCAATGTTTCCACGTGATGATGGGTCATTCCATAACCGGTAAAGAACTGCAGCAATTGTCCATTAAAAAGTGTATTGAGGTCTCCAGTATAACTGTGAACCGCTCAGAATCATCTGATAGCGCCGCATGTCAAGAATTTGGCTGTATGATCCCCTTGAAGTAGAGCAAACGGCAGTACGACTTCATTTATCAAATGAACATCGAATGCTTCCACTTCACTGGCAATAGAGGACAAGTGGAAAAAAGATCTTCCAAAATTGCGTTTCAGTTAATATAGCACGCCCCCATAAATCCCGTTCATAGCCTCGAAACGGTTCGGATGTGATCTGGGAACAGCCTCGGCCAGTACACCTGGAAGACTATTCTAGATAACGAAAGATCAAGAAAACTTCACTCATCAGTAGAATCCTGTACAACCTACCCATCCGAAGTAAGCTATTTAACTATCGAGGTCCAGACCCAAATTGATGAGCCGAACAAGTTATTACCCCGCCAGTGCTTCCCTACTAACAAACGAGAAACAGTGGTATCGCGCTAAGCCTGTATCCAAACGGAGCGCGACTTTCACCTCTGTAATGATGTCCCTTGGATAAGAATTCAGGTACGGCTGACAAAGGTTCACAATCGTCCCGCCCGTCTTCACCGCCAGTTGTGTATAGGACGAAACATCATATGACTGCATGCACAAATCGTTCATCTGGTATGGAGCCGTAATGATTATGTTGATTTGAAGCTGTCGTTCGATGGCAGCAACACTGAAATTGACATAGGAAGCTCACGTCAAATCTAACTCTCAAATCTATAAATGAGGGTATAACAGAAATCCAAGCAAATCAGGGCGTATCGGTGCAAGCCGCCATAGGTGACGCGGCGTAAGAGAGAGGTTTTCAATGCTGACTATTCAATGAAATTCGTCGAGTTTTAGTGATTATGAAGTGGCACACTTCACCCGAGCCTGGTCAACCTGCAGCCAGTTCCTCATAACAGTAGCACCAACTGCAGCTTTGTCCTGCAGCGCGGATACTGGCCATACGTGAGTTCAGAAAGTATACGCATGTATACAGTTGAACAATTTCTCTCTTCATTTTTTTATTTCCCTCCTATTTCGATTCAAGGAAAATAATCTGTTATGTAGCCATTAACCAACTCACATTATGCTGTTAACGTTTGTGCTGCTTGTATTCGTATTAGGAATGGCATCTGTGAATAGAAATATTGAAGACTTATCATAGGAAATACTGTCGATTGTCTGAAGGAGCGCGTCCAGTGATGGTTGTGTTGCCGATTGAGAGTTCCTGTGGAAATAAAACATGAAATATTTGAAAAAGAGACTCTAACATCTTTCGGTTATTTCGTATTTTCCAACGGTCTCGTAATCATATATGGCCCTATTGTCATGATGGAGACCTTATGAGCACGTTCCCTAGACTGCCTCTTTTTGCTACCGCCGTCACGATAGTTCTGCACTTCCTACATTGAGTCTAGGAGTTCAAAAGTCTAGGAATTCAAGAGTCTAGGAGTTCAAAAGTCCCTATTGGACCAGAGTAAAGAAGAAAAACTCGGGTTGGGAGTGGTGTTCAGCAAAAATTCTCCTCAACAGTAGGGCATGCCGTGACAGCGACGCTCCTAGTCGCTCGCTCACCCTTCCTAGTGCTTAGATCAGTTTCAATGGCTATTCACTAACCACGTTCCCATCACTCTATCCTAACCTAGTGCGTTATGCTTCATGAAAACCAACCTTCCCATCATAATTGAAGGCGTTCCTACCCATACGAGGATTTCGTAGGTCGTGAATCGCAGCTGCTGTAACCCAGGCCGCCACGGGAACTGCCTCTCCTTTCCAGATTAAAATGAAACGGACTGCAGAACCTTTCCTAGATCCCACCTCCTTCTCTTACTGGTTTTGGTATCTTCAAAAAATAATTGTAGATCTATTCCATATTTGAAAAGACTGCCTCAACATGAAAATGAGCTCACTGATACATCACAGAAGCAGAAGTAGTGGCATTCAGAAATGTGGTAGCGTCTGTGTATTGAGTCACCAGGACGACCTCATCTGTTCGATCTGACGAAAATTACGAGTAATATGAAAGTCTCACCCTATAAAGCACTCATTTATTCCACTACCAGTCGGATCGCCCGGCTGGCGCCGAGTAAAGCTACGCAGACGTAGGAATGAACTGCTGCGACGCAATTTTACACCACTTTTACACCACTTTGCGTACCGGCTCCTCAGCTCACGCCTAATTTTATACTCCTCAGCTCACGCCTAATTTTAATGTTGTGCGGGTACTCCCTGTACCTCCATTTGCTCTGTTTTCGCCTTTTTCACTCGCACCATGTTGTAATATGCCATATTAACTGTGCACTGCATACAAAATTGCGTATACCCTGATTAATTTTCGTAACGAATGAATGAACACAAGCCACAGCATAAGATTTAGGTATACAAAATAATCACAGCACAACGAGGAATGAATAAGGCGAACAAAGAAAATGGAAACGGGAAAATGTAGGGACGTTTACTAAAGTAAGGTACTGATATGAGCGACTCATAAGGGAAGCTCTCAGGTCGAGGAAGCCATTCGACGTGACAACTACACCATTAGATACATTTTACAGCTGATCAGTACTACCCTACTGAAGACTGAGCAAATCAAAGTCACATCACAGAAACATTCCTTGCCTAATGACTGCCATTTTCGTGTTCAACGGCTCGAACTACCTCTGAAAGCATACTTCCAGTCAATTCTGAATTTTGTCCAGGCTTCGAAAAATTGGATATGTTTATGGCTGGGTGGTGGACTCAAGGATTTCCTAGCAATGAGACTTAATCTTTGTACAGAATCAGCTTTTCTGCCGCGTTTCCGACTTCGTTTTCGCAGAAAAAGAAAAGCTTATGAAGTTGCAATAAATTCCATAAACTTTTTCACACTGAAAAGGTGTGACATTCGTGTCGAGGTGTCACACTCCCTTTGGAGACAAAATTCTCATCATAATCTAAGAGCTTAACTTCATTTAAAAAATTACGTGTTCACTGTTTGGCCGTTATTGCTCCGGCAATAACAGCCCAAACTGTGGACTCGTCTCCTTCTGACCACTCCTATCCATAACCGACTAGTCCTGACTGGCAATTTGATTCTAATAATCAGAAAATGATGCAGAGGCCAACGCGCTAGGAAGACATCGCTCTCCAAAAGGACGCACTTCTGAAATGTTCTTTCCTGGTTTCAAGACCTGGCTCGATGACGAGCCTGCGAGACCAAGAGAACTGTTGCCCATCTATGGTGACACTTTGTGCATATCTGCCAACTCCCAAAGTTTAGTGAAATTTGTATTGTCTTCGCCTGTGTAACAAATATCATGGTCGTTTAATGCAGGCATGCCTGAAGCCGCACCTCTGGTCCTAGCCTTCATTCAAGTGGTGGTCATCATAAAATGCCCTTGTTGAATGAGAGTTATATTCTACACAAAATGCTTGCGGCAGTCTTCCTATCCTTGGATTACCCATACCACGTGGATCTGATCGCCTACGCCTTTTACCTCAAAAAGACACTGATAAAAACTCTCACATTATGTTCGCGCAAGTCATCTCGCAAACTTCGCAAGCTAAGATTGAGTTTAGCGTCTCAATGCGAGTACATTGATGTATAATTTATTGCAAAGGACCAGCTGACCTTTCCTTGTCAATCATAAAACACTCGAAAATTATTAAAATTAGGCGTGAGTTGAGGAGTACGGTACGCAAAGTGGTGTAAAATTGCGTCGCAGCAGTTCATTCCTACGTCTGCGTAGCTTTACTCGCTGGCGCCGACATCTCCTCCTTCTCTTTAGCTTGGATTCGCCGAGCTGGCCTGGCTTCGCCAGGTGCGCTCCATAATTTTAACGGATTTTTCAATAGTGCGCTGTAGTGAACGAATAGCGACAGATGGAACAAGGCTTAGGATCCTGCACTACTTAGCACACGCTCCTGCTTGCAGCAGGGGTGCGGTCCGCGCCTTAACGCCCATACAACACATAAATCTGTAGAATAGATACAATGTGCAGTCGGCCAATACAGCGCAATGTGAATCGCTCAGTAAAAGAACAGATTTCCTTTCATCACCTGCACCGAAATGCCTACCGATGAACATTTCCCTTTTCAATTAGCATGCAGTCCGCTTGCTGAAGTATAATTATTAGTAGGTATAGTACTCCCTTGTCATTCGTTCTCATCAATAATTGAAAGTTCAAAAGTTCAAAGGTAAAAGAGCTACTGAAGTGCCACTATTCAGGTTTTTGGTTCTCCTCGGATTTCCCTGAAATTCCTGTTTCAGGCGAACTACATACAACCCCCCCCCACTTCCACCCCCTCGTCGAAATCCATATTATATAGTGGGATAGTGGGATGAGTTCATCATTTTATAGTGCTATCAGAGAAGTGATGGCTAGAGGAAAAGTTTGCACATCGAGCCTTCAATACTTGGCAGTGTACTGATAAGAGAATGGCCCTTACCTTTCTTATCAATTGGTAAGATTGCCTGTCACCCGCTATCCATGTCCCTATCACTAAAACTCCATAATTTGGTAGTGTAAAGGCTTCAGTAATTTGACTGAATAACAATGACAACGTTACGTGCGTCTCCTTAACATTATATTTACATATAAGGAGACCCTATAGTGGGTCTCATTCGCTACTGACTAACATCCGCATGTGAAGGAGGATTTGCGGTGGAACCCTGGTGACTGCGCTTTTCGAATTCTGCAGAATTTTCTTGTTGAGTTCCGAACACATAATCGGAACTGCTAGGGTTGGTTGGGCGCTTGGCGGGGTAGTGTTCATCTCCTTAACTCGAAACGCGTTTAGGCCTCTGAAGAAGACGACCACCTCGAAACGTTAGGCCGCTAAATGAATATTCCACCTGAAAACCTCGAGAGGCACAGCAGTATTAACGAATCATACAACAATGCCGAGGTTACAGCAAGAGAGAAGCTGGGGAACAATGACAACGTTCCTTATCAGCCCCTATCAGCTGTTATCACCTCCTGCCACCTCCCGTCGATCTGTAGGCGGGTGCTCTTCCTGTAAGATGTTGCCATTTGGGACAACTGTATTCATTTCTTTGGTAACAGCACGACATGACGACGGTTGTTTCAAATGGGGGTATCTCACCAAAACTCATCCTTTGCCTGGTTCAAATGAAGTGCAAAGACACGCCCTCCCCCCCCTCCATCCTCGGAATACGAAGTGTACATTTGTGCGCTTTACTGTTACTGTGACCGATAAGACTGCCACCAAGTGAATATGGTCTACAGGCAAGATTGGTTCAGGCTTAGTGTATTGAGCTGCGCAAATGAAACTGTATTACAGTAGAAGGTGAATAACTTACTTTTTCTGCTGAGAGTGTTGAAGGTAGAGACAAGGTACTCATCGAATGCGTCTGCCTGTCCCATATATTTCAGAAGTGCTGTCAAACCGGATTCGATATGGCCATTGAGCTGCAAAAAGCATTTCTTTCTTTCTTGCTATAAGGAAGTTTTTATATGAAACATTGAACATGAAATGCGAAGATCTGACGGACCTACTTCTTTGAGATGTCTTGCCGTAAAACTGACGGTTAAGTGTGGTGATTAGCTCTCGGTAACAAAGGAAGAAAATAGAGAGCTGAAGGAATACGCTTCAGCCGTTTGTCAATTCTTTGGGGTGGGACACCCATACTGGTTCCAATCAGTGGTATTCGGAATGCGATATGGCCCCTTCAATGACTTAAGGGAGCCAGCCAATGGAACCATTCGATGTATATGTCAGTGCTTTTACTCCTCCACACGGATTGGTACCAACTCACTGTCCGCGGAGGAAAAAAAGCTTGGTTGCCCCGAGAGGAGTCGATTGGATGCCTAAGCAAGCCACATGCCATAGCGCCTCCACCGCTTCAAGCGGGGAGAGAAAGACTGAAAAGGGGAAGAGATTTCGTTCAAAAACCGTTCGCTTGTTTTCTAATTTAATTTATTCGACAAGTTTGACATTCTGACGCGTTCTACACCATTTGATTACTTTTCTCTGCTCCTGACAGATATACGCCAGCAACATTACAATAATGGGATCACTAATGTGTGGCCGTCTGCACTGACTGGATGGCATTGTAACAAAATGAATGAAGCCGGCGAACGGAGAATTTTAAGGTGTCGTTCGCGGGGTGAGTGCAGTTGTGGAGCATGTTGCAATTCAATTCGTGGGACGCTGTTATGGGCGTGGCTGGAGACGCCGAGTGTCCCGTACGAGTTGTGTTGCCCCTGTTCAAAAATTTAGGCTGCGTTTATACTTTGCGGCGG